GGGTACTCCGGGCAATCCAAGCCAGGACTGCTTTGCAAGCGGGGCACCCCTGAGAACTGTCTGCCTGGGGTTGGGGTCGGGTCCCTTTAAGCACAGCCCTCGGCTAGCCTGGGACAGCAGCTCCACGCTCTAAGTCCTATTCTGATGCCCTGCCGGCACTGCTTCCGGCCATCCTTAACCCCGGTTCAGGGTCCACTCAATGTGGACATGCTAGTTCGAATTAGCAAAATGCTAATTCAAACTAGTTTTTATGTCTAGCTGCGCTAATTCGAATTAGCTTAGTTTGAATTAACTAATTCGAACTAAGTTAGTTCGAATTAGCGCTGTATTGTAGACATACCCACCCATAGTGCACAACAAACTTGTGTGGGGTAAATTTACACTCTATTTTTCAATGAAATAAGTGTTCCTATAGATAAAGCCCCCTGAGCCCTGCAGTAACTTCAAGAAGTAAATATTATCCCTGTTTCATAGATGAATAAATGGAGCAGAGACAGGTTAAGTGGCATGCTCAAGGTCACGGAATGCCTATGGTAAAATCAGGAACAGAAGACAAACCTGGTTTAATTACACTTTTCTGCCTTCATTCAGGGTCTCCATTCATAAAGGGAGTAGAGGATTCCTTAAATTCTTCAATCATATACACGTGAACAATGAGATAATATGTTTAAAATCCTAAATGGTAACAATCTGGCCTATAAATGGCTTTATTGATGATAACTGGAAAGAAGTGATGTTCTATGATGGCATTTTTATTTTATCAATAAGCAATTTATGGTCAAAACAATATTTTAATTATTGCCTTACATGTGACCACATTTATTAACCTTAGGACTATCAAATCTATGTTTTATTTTTAAATGCACACCTTACATTTTGAAAGGAAGGTCTGTTTGGTACATTTTAGCTAAATAAGAACATAAAAACTGCCAAACTGGTTCAGACCAATGGTCCATCCAGCTTGGTATCCTGCCTCCAACAATGGCTCGTAGCAGAGCTTCAGGGAGAGACCCCAAACAGGATAATTTTTGCATTCTGAGGTATAGGGTTGCCTAGTACCTGCCATTCATAGACATAACCTCCATGAACTTATCTAATTCATTTAAAACAGACACATATAGCACTTCCTGGTCATCTCTGGCACAAGGCAAGTAAAGATCTAGCCAACAGTAGAGCAAAATACATCATGTACAGAAAGATGGTGACCAAAAAAAGTGCTTTGATTTAGATTACTCCATTTAACAAGAGGGGACCTACCGACCCACAGAAGATGAGAAGGTTCATTTGTGAAATAAATATGGCATACATTAGAAATGTTCCTTAGATTAAAGGTTTCAGGGAAACTAATCAAATGTTTGAGAGGAGATAAATCATATCTGTATTTGTGCTATTTAACTATGCAACATTTCAGAGTCCCTTTAAGACTGAGGTAAACTTGAGTCATTAAATAGTTTGGAGCCTCCCTTGATCACAAGCAGATCTGTTACAGATTTATACAAAACAGTTCTGGAAAAAAAAGAACGCACTGCATTTTTCAGTTATGGTGGTGAAGGAAACCCTATAAAAATGAAATACAGCTGGGTAGAAGGTGTGTGTGTGTGTGTGTGTGTGTGTGTGTGTGTGTGTGTTCTAATGCAGCACAAGAATTAGATCTGTTCCAATAAGACCTAGAACAAGACCCCACGCATGTTTATTAAAAATATATTTGATTTGTTAAAGAAGTTGGGAATACCTGGTATAAAAAGTTCCTACCTTCTGCAACAGCAGCCTGCACTACAAATCACATTCATACTGGTCAATTCATTGCACATTATAATTGCACATTCTATACTTTGATAGCATGTTTGAATAAAGGATCTCAAAGCACTTTCTAAACATTGCTGAGTTAACCCTCACAACATCCCTGTGAGGTAGGTAAGTATTATTGTCCCCATTTCACAGATGAGAAAAGTGGGGGATATTGAGTTTTAATTTAATGCATAGGCAGCACCATGTCTAGAACCCTACACTTCTCACTCCTAGTATTGTCTGATCACAATACAATGCCTTCCTTTCCTTTCTGAGGAGACTTTCTCATCT